TATTCCAAAAAAAAAAAATAAAGATCACTACAATTTTCTTAATGAAAACATTTTTTTTATGTGCCAATCAATGCATATGAGAATTCTCTTGAAAAAAGTATTAGAGGACTTAGGTCGAAAATTGACTAGCTTAGAAGTTATGAGTTTTGTCCCGAACGCCCATGTACGCGAAACACTGTGTAACGGCAAAAAACCATTTCTCTAAGCCTTATAAAAATAGCGGTGCAGTCAAATTTTTTTGACAGCGACCGATAACCAAGAAGTCACGCGTACGCATTTGTTCGATCGCGCGCGGATGAGCCTGTTCTCCGATCCCTGATTGGCCAGTGTTTTTCGTTAATAATTCAAAAATGAAGCTTCAAACAACATTTGGTAAAGGAAAAAGTTGTTCAGAGTCACCCCAGCAACCCCCCGTTTCCAGGTGTTCGAGGAGTTACGGGACACCCTGTATTGTGTGTATAGAACTGTTCACAGTATTTTGACATCAATAGAATGTGATGAATCATCTGTTGATAAACAATTACATTACTTTCTTATTTGTAATTTCATGATTACGATCGATTCCAAAACCACTGCTAATATGGTAATCTTATCCTATGCTAAATCGGTAACGTTGGAAGCGACACCAAAATGGTAAGGGTCTTCTCGGCCCTCCTGCCGCGGACGCAAAGTCCCATAAGATGTTAGGTTTATCCTGTACATCGTCTGCGGTTGTAGTGAAGCAAACGGTAGTGTCGGAAGTTGGTAATGTCGTTTACAGTACCAAATGTCGATGTCTTCTATACGACTTGTACAAGGTAACCTGCCGGCCATGCGCCGTTGGTTTTGAGGATCACTCTACCCACCGTGTCTTGACGTGCCCTATTTTCGTTGGTGCAAAAAGGTTTGCTCGGCTACAGGGATATCTTTAAACGTTAACAACCAGAAAACAAAGCCTCAAACGCAATTTTTTTATTTTTGATTTTCGTCTTACTTTAACTTCTAGAATCACCCCTTAAATGTTCTACAACAGTTTCCGAACATCTTGTACATAAAAATATACAGCAAACTGTGTAATCATATTAAAATAGCAATTTACACTTAAAGAAGTGTCTATATCGAAAATGAAAGGCGTATTATTCATTAGATATCAAATATTTCTCTAATCCCTGAAATTTATATCACTTGGCAAAAACTTTCTTTTCCGTAATTCTTCGCGTGTGTATATTTCGATAAAAAAGAATTTTACATAATGAAAATATAGATTAACGATAATTAGACAGGTTTTTTGGAGAGCATGCGTATGTCGCTGATTCTACTTCTCTTCTTTACCCTAAACAATGCGTAAAATTAATAAGTTGTGCTAATAAAATAGCATACAGCTTTTCGCTGCATTTCATTTTTAGTTACAAAGTAATATTCCTGAAAAATTAATAAAATTTCGAAGTGTGAAATATTATGCGGACGGGAAAAAGGAAGACGTTAAGATGGAAGTACTAATAAAACATTGTAGCGACGACAATATTTACATTTAAAAAATTAAATATCACTTGTAATCATAGTTCGTTCCTTGTATCGTTAAAGTTGTATAGATTTTATATTCACCTATCCGCTTTACGTTATCGCCGGTCAAATGAGTTATATCGAAAATAAAGTTTAAAAATGTAACCGAAGAAAATGTCGTACGTCCTGTGTCCCTGCAGAGTTCGCAAGCCACAAAGGCAGCTTTTCATGTTTCTATCGATCGACGCCTGTGCAGTGAGCGACTTCGACATGACCACCGACCATAGCCCAGGGGAAGCAATCATCGTTTGATCCTCCTTCGCTTCGAACTCGTTTATAGCACTCTGAACTTTGATTTCATTTGGTTCATGTTCACGTAATCCATAGTGTTTATCCTTGTTTATGAAAGACTACACAAGAAGGCGAAAAGACGGGAAGAAGAGAAAGTGTTTAAGAGCATCTTTACAGTGAAGGAACATTTAGAACAACAACATCTACCAGACCAAAGTAAGACACATTTTAAGGTAACATTAGAATTTTCGCTACAGTTTCTACTCGTTTAGAATAGAATGTTTGTTTTATCGAGTAAATAGCAATAGAGAATGAGTTCTAAGCATAAATTAAAAAAAAAAATACATATCGTACAAACGTAAACATATGTATGTATAAATGTAAACGAGTAAGCACTTTGTTCTTTTATTGTTACCAGAATAATATTTCACTGTCGTAGATATACACCTAACACACGTTGGTCACACCTTTTGAAATTTAATTCAATCATGTTAATTTATTTTATATTGTCAGTTTATTTTTTCTCAGATCTACTTGATCGGAAATTGTTCACACTGAACAGTGCTACAAAGATATTAAGTATTTCGTTATTATATTCTATATTATTGTACATTAATTCGACAACAAAGAATTACGTGCAATCGAGAGATTCCTGTTGTTTCATTTGTTCAAAGACAGTGCTAACAGAATCGAAAGATTGAAACGGTAGATTTACACAACTGGTACACTATGAAATGACACAATCGTTAGTCTTACATACATAGTCGTGAAAATTGTAGAACCTATTAAGTAGGTATAGATAGTCATCACTCTGCTTGTGTAATTTGTGTATGTACTATAAAGTAACAATAGTACGAGCAGTTCATACTAAAGTACAATTACCACCTTCATGCATAAAATATAAAAAACTGTATACGTAAAATATAACGTTATTGCAATATAACATGTTTGTGCACACTTTCGGATTAACCGTGCTTTATTGCGAGAAAGATACGAAAAAAGTACGCTTATTATTTTCACAATCATTGTAAGATAGAGCAAACTCTCGTGAACGTCTAAAATTCTCGCTTTCTTGCAAATATTCGTTGTGATTCACTGACCTTTTCCTCGAGCGTGTTTTAAACGATGGAAAAAAAATCGTAATTACATATGCGATCATGCATAAAGATTATCTCGTCGAAATACTACTCGTTGCATTTTATGACGTTATTCTTGTCGCAGAAATCAGCAAAAAAGAAAAGTACATTTATATACATACATACCGGGTGAGTCATTTAAATCGATCGCCTCGAATATCCTCGAAACTATTGATGATATTGAAAAATGTTTCAGATAAAGGTTAAATTGTTTCAAGTGGAACATAATTCACTTTTATTAGTTTCTTTGTAGGCAGGATAGGCGTACAGGACATATGAAGGTCAAATTAATTTTTTTAATAGAATCGTTTATTTTTTTTTTTTTTTTTTGTGAAAACGTATCGTACTATTTATACCGAAAAACCATTACCTTGGGAGATATTTCAATTTCAATATTGCAAAGTGGTATTCAATTTCGGTACAGCTAACACGTGGTGGAAGGTAAACACATCGTGTTACCAGTATCTCTTCCCAACATTGAACTTAAAATATCTCTCAAGCTGATAGGTTTTTCGCGTAAATAGCTTAATAATACTTCTTTTCATTTTTCGATTCACATTGGATTTTCATTAGATAAAATGTTGCGGAAAGACGCGATGTTACACTATGCAAGGAGGCAAGCTTATTGTTCAACCGAGAATTTTCTCGATATCATTGTCGTGGAATGATTTACGAAATCGAATGTCAAAATTTGTTTCCTCAGATTTTATGAAAGTGTCTTAAAACCGTACTCCGTTGATTTCGAGCCCCTGAACCCCTTTTGCTGTGACCAGCTCTACATTGTTGTCGACCGGCTCTACATTCTAATTTTTCATTATTCCTAACTAAAGAATAAAAGCCAAATTTGAAATTCTTATATTCTTGATTTTCATCTTAATTCGTCCAGAATTGTTGTTTCAAATTTCGATCAACCCTTATCTTATACCCTGCATATACCACTTAGATATCTCGTATCGTGATACTTTATAACATTATGAGAATCAAGGAAATAATTGGTATATATGTAGCAAGTGCAAATATTACATCAAATACGATTTCTAAGAAATTGATCAATTGACCAGAAAACTGATAATAATTTTGATTTATTATAAACATAAACGGCGGTAATTGTTATTTTGTCTTTTGAAGTATTCCTTTTTCTGCAATCACATTTTTGTAGGGAACTGGAGAACAGCAAAATACTTTTTGTCAATTAAACAAACTTTTCACGATAAAATTGATAACGTGCACAATAATATTGTATTAAGGAGTGTGTGCTTATATATTGATAACGTTTAATTCTGTATCTTTTTTCAGGATCTTTAGCGAAGAGCAAAAGAATATACAGATTACAGTACAATTTCATTAATATGGAAAGTGAATTCCTCTGAAATATTCAAAATTACTGTGATTAAATATTGTCGGAGTAATTGATTATTGAAATAATAATAATTGTCTGCGTGACAACAGTAATTAACTTTGAAACTGCAACAGAAATCATGATTGTACAGAAGAAGAAGTAGAGGAAAATATCAACAGATATGAGCAAAAGTAGGCGTAAGAATGATCATTGGCATCTTACATGAGATAAACTCGGTTGTATTAGTACATCTGTTCCTTGAATTTCCATCTATTTATCTAGTAAGATGAAAGTGACGTTAACCAAATTGACAAACGTATGATTGAATTGGTTCGAATACATTGCAAGTAATATAAGATTAATTTACTTAATGGTTCACATAGGAAGGAACATTAGTTACTATAGTTTTGTCCAAAAGAAAAAAAAAACAGCCGAAAAACTACGTCCATATATATACTGCTAAAAAAAAAAGAACTTATTACTCAGTGTTAAATTTACGAAGATATATCGATTATTCTAAAAGCAATGGATATACACACACGTATCTTTATAAAAATTCTAGATGTCCGTGTTAATAAAATGTTTCATTCTATTCAAATTAACGAAAGACTACAAAAAATTCATTGACAATGAAGAACCATTACGTTGACGTAATTATGGTCACAAGTAACGAGTGCAATAATATAAATTTTTTTTTATTTTACGAGAAAAACTATAACAGTTGAAAATATTAAAAAGAGAAATACACGGAAATGTCCGAAAGCAAAGCAAAACCGGCATCACCAATACCGCCGGCTGCTTCTACACAATGCTGTAACAGCTTAATAGATATACAGTGCCCAGCACTTCAAGTGACATCACGAATGTTGCGATCGCCGAGTCATGAGAGTGTCACAACTGATCTCTCTCTTTTTAGTGTCTCCTCGATAGCAAGTGAACTACGAGGAGCAAATAGACTCGTTACATTTAAATCGTACACTGATGTACATCTTACTGGTCGTGGTCCATCGCCGAAACCAGACACTCGTCAGGTTCAAAGTACCAGGTTTGTGTTGTTTGTTTATACGATAAATCTATCGAATGTATCAACTTCGTCGTTAATAACACGAATTTTACAAAATCACATTTCTCTAACTGTGATTTGTACGAAATACGAGAAGTTTTTCATCGATACCCATTGTTATCGCTACGGTATATTATTATGGTACATGATTTTCACTTACTTAAATAACTATGAGACAAGGGGAGAAACATTTTTTGTTTCGTTTTTTTTCTGGGTTAAAAAATAGTTACAGTTAGGTTTTACAAGTGAATTTCTTTTTTTTTATCTACTGCACAGTGTGAGGCAATCTCATTTTTACCACCTAAAATATCTTCGAAACTGATAGGGTAAGATAAAAATGTATGCAAGAAAAATTGTAGTGTTTTCTTAAATAGTATGCTGTACGAATTCAACGACATGATACAAATCCAGTGAAGATCAATTATAACGGAGATATGTTATCAACTAACTTAGTTGCGTTTGTTATAATGTCTATATTTATACAGGTATATGCCTATCTTCCGGTATAATCGATACTTCTTTATACATAACGTCTGTTAATGTATATACAGGGTGTTCGGTCACTTCTGGGAGAAATTTTATGTGGTGATTATTCTAGAAGTCAAAATAAGACGAAAATCAAGAATGAAAAAATTGTGTTTGAACTTTCGTTTTTTAGATACTTAACGACTCGTTTCATTTTGCGCTGGTAATCGACAATTCAATACTGTTACATGATTAAAGGAAAACATTAGACAGACTTTCAGGAAATAAAATAAAGTATTTGTTTAAATCAGTACCGAATCGCGAATAGTGTAACTTATAGAAAATAAAGAAGGTTCCGCGGATTATTAAATATAAAGACAATGTCACATTGTTTGTCACTTGTTTCACAATTTTCACATTTTTCACAACTTGCTTCAAGTGTGCTATCTTTTCGCCGGTAATGTAACAGTTAGATCAAGAAACAATAAAGACAATCATTATTTACATGCCCTATTTCTTTATTGTTATTAAAAAATACGTATATACACAGAGTGTTCGACTACTCCTGGGGGAAAATTTAAGGGGTGATTCTAGAAGTCAATATACGACGAAAATGAAGAATACAAAAATTGCGTTTGAGACTTCATGTTATAGTTATTAATGTTTAAAGAAATCCCTGTAGCCGAGCAAAGCTCCTTACACCGACAAATATAGAGCACTTCAAGACACAGGGGGTACAGTGATCCTCAAAACTAACCATATACGGCCAACACTTTACTTCGTACTTACAAGTTGTAAAGAAGAAAACAGCGACTATCCTTTACTGTACCCCCTGTGTCTTGACGTGCCCTATATTCGATGGTGTAGGAAGGTTTGTTCGGCCACAGGGATATTTTTAAACGTTAGTAACTAAAAAACGAAACCTGGAACACAATTTCTATATTCTTGATTTTCTTCTTATTTCGGCTTCTAAAATCACCCCTTGAATTTTCTCTCAGGAGTGGCTGAAGATCCTGTGTATAGACCTGTACAACATTATATGGCCACTCATCAAGTTAATGCATCAAAGTTATATTGTGTTATTAATTATTGCAAAATTAGTAAAAAAAATTATTGTAATTATAGACATTCTTTTATAAACTATAGTAATAATAATAATAGTAGTAGCGATAGTAATAATACTAACAATTAGTAGTCACAGTAGTAGTCAAACCTTAAACAATTGCATAACTTTTTTCGAATAAGAAAATTGAGAGTAAAATAAAATAAAGTAAATAGTTTAAATTACAGTGATTACTGTTTAGGTTTCTGAGTGTTAACTATATTTTATCATTGAAACTGTAACATCAGTGTGTTACCTTACCCTGGACGAAGCTAGTTGCAATTCCAGGGAGACATTAGGAAGCTTTTTTTCAAAAAGACATAATTTACACTCGGAAATCTCAATAGTAGTAACTGTATGACTTCAGGCTTACATTATTCCTTTTCTTCTTTACTTTCTTAGGCCAGCAGATATACCAGAAATTCTTTGGTTTGAAGAAGAAAATGAACTAATTCGTAGTTGTGGAGTACTTTCTTCGGCACTTGGTCTTCGTAAAAGTTTTAGCACAAGTGACGTGTCTCAACTACCAAGTCCAGATGCATTGGGTCCAAGTGGATTGCGATCAACTGTGTCTACTTTGGCCCTCAACACTGCCCAAAGAAACACTATGCTCTTGGAACATGCACGGCTTAACTATGCTTCAAGATCTTGCAGTACATGGGTTGCTGTTGGTGAACCAGTAGCGAATACATCGCAACTTCCTAGTCCTCACGGAGGAGCTGCCCAAGAACAAAACCAACAACAAACATCCACTTCTCAATCAGCTCCACAACCTCCACTTGCACCACCACCTCCGCCAGTACCTTTTACAGGAGCTGATTTTGTTAGATCTGTAAATAAAAAAGTTCGCCAGAATTATATACGTCGAAGGTTAGTCTGAATTGATTTCTCTTTAACTTTTGCATTTTCTTGACGTAACAATTTTTACTAAAGCACAAATATCAATAAAAAATTTATTAAGAAATATTGTATTGAAAACGTTGAGTTAAAAAAAGAAAGCAGTATATATGAAAAAAGGACAGTACTTATTTTTATTCAGTTTCTTTACAATCGATAGAAGAGCAAAAATAAAACAAGGCCTGACACAGGGGACATTTATTTATATTGAATTTTTATAATTTGCAGATTATTAACAACATATCGTGCATTAGAGCGACTTTCACAAAGTGAATTCAATTTAGATCAACTGGAAGTTGTGGCAAGCGCGGCACAAACAACTTCCGGAACTACCTTGTTGGTCCCTGGAGCAACAGGCGTTTCACGATCTCCTCTATTAGGACACAAGGAACGGAATCACGCCTTAACCGTTAAAGATGTTGAAAGAGAACGCGGGAATCAATTGTCAAAATATGAGAGAAACATGATGATTTTTAACTGGCTACATACTCTTGACGATACTGCTATTGTTGACAGCGTAGAATGAATTACATCAAATGATACTATTGCGCAATTATACTTAACTTTTTCGCTACGCTTAATATTTATGATACATGTTATAGAATAAAATTTGTATCAAAATAATATATTAAAATGCAAATTCCTCACGATAAATAAAATTGAAAAGTCACTTACCGTTATACAATTTGAGATTTTATTTTTATAACAGAGACAATTAAAATATTTAAGATATGAGTTTTCAGATACACAAGCATATGACATTTGTACGTAATGTACTTACTCATGTTTGAGAAACGTAAAATAATATCTCTACCGAGCAACATACTTTTGTCATATACATAACATCACTCACGTTTAAATATGTCGAGATGTGAGTATCAATTTTAATCTGATAATGAAAACTCTTATTTGTATATCGAACATTACAGTATAAACAGTATATGTCGTATTGCCGTCTATTTTATCGAATCATACTTGGATTTTTTTGGTGAAAATCTTAGAGCAATAACAATAGATATTTTTAGTATGAGAGAAAGATATCAGGGCAAGTGATACAAAGAACTGGAGAAAATTGACTACCACGTTTTCCTAAATAATTATATATGCTTTAGTATATCAAAGGTGCAATATTTTAAATATTAAAGCTTATGTCGATTAAAAAATATTGAAAGTGTTACCTAATAATACCTTACAAGACAAAAGCTTAATTCCATTCTTTGTTTGGTGCAATCATTGATATACTAAATTTAAAAGAGTCCAAGGTCACGTTATATACAGGGTATCATACAGAATTGGGTAAAACGTAATCCGATTAATGATTAAAAATTATGACTAACGTGAAATCAGATCAGTAATCAATCTTGATTACTGAATAATGAATGACATTTGATTAATGAATAACAGAAGTAATTAAAGCTGTTATAATCAAAGTGACATAATTAACTCAATAATCATTAATCAGAAAATAATTACACCTTTGATTATGATTGAATCAGTAATTTAATAGTAATAATGATACTGTGAAAATTTTTTTGGAAAATACATATTTATTAAATAATGAAATGAACAAATAACTTATTTACATAGTGGGAACTGATAAAAACTATGATTTTGATGTAGAAGTATAGTTTTTTTTTAATATAATTCTCATTTCAAACATTCTTTCTGATAGTTTATATGATAATCTCCCGACTTGTACGAGATGAGATGCCTGCCATGTGTCGTTGGTTTTGAGCATCACTGTACCCCCTGCGTCTTGAGGTGCCCTATATTCGTTGGTGTAGGGAGGTTTGCTCAGTTACAGGAATATCTTTAAACATTAATAACTAAAAAACGAAGCCTCAAATGCAATTTTTTTTATTCTTGATTTTCGTCTTATACTGGTTTCTAGAATCACCCCTTAAATTTTCTACCAACAGTTACCGAACACCCTGTATGTACCCACATATTATGGAACACTGTATCATATAACAGACTAAATGCCATTAAATATTTTTGAAAAAAATGAAATTCCTACAATCATAAGAAGCGGCACGAACGTATTGAACAACTTAATAATTTTATAAAATTTTTCAATAAGGACACCAACAATTAGTGCAACTAAAGTAATAACTTCAAAGAAAAATATGCCCGTTATTTCAACGTAGTACGCGAAAATGTGTGAAGTAAAAAGTACAAGGTATTTGTGTTTCTTCTTCATACATATTTATTATCCTTTCTTAAATAATACCGTTCGTATAATCGAACTTTCTATTCTAACAACCAAAGTTCTACTATATTATAATTTGCTTTCTAAATGTATAAAAACTAATATTTACATATTTCTATAATATCGCTCGAGAATAAAATTTATTTCTTTTTTATTATTCTTACCTGCAAGTTTGACATGAATATTTAAAAGAAATACTAATGTTATAAATTTTTCATACAGCATTGTATTGTCAATAAATGTAACTCTATAAGATTCGCTAATTTAAAAAATTCAATTAATTTTAAATTTAATCTGACCGTGAAATGTTTAAATATCTTAAATGATTAATTACTATTTTAAAATGCTTTAAACAACATTTATACTCTCATTTCTCTGAATTGTTTACTACAAATGCTTTGTTATATGTACCCTGGTATAATAAACCAGAAAACATTATAATTAAATATAAGAAACTATAACACATTAATCTCTTTTTCAAATGACTAAATTAGAAAAATCTTTTCTGACTTGCAAACCAACCTCACAAAATCCTCCTTATATCTAACATCTTAATTATAATAAAGACTATTATTTTATTGTACATTATTATCAAGTGAAATTAATGAATGTTTATATTGGAATTGTATTAATGACAAACCAATTAATGCTTTTAGTACACATGATAGTCAACAATCTGTTTTAACTCTGTTTAATCTGACTCTGATCCTGAACTGACATCAGACTCATATTCACCTACATTGATGGTAAATTTGTATTCTTGATCACAACCCAAATAAGCATCACTCATAAAGTACAATGTGTAGGAATGTTGACCAGGAGCAGGTGCTACAAAATCAAGTTTCACTTTTGCTTTCTGTTGTAGTGTCAACCTCTTAATAGATAGCAAAGAATTGGTCTTTGGATCACCGATAACAACCCACCAACCTTCTTCCCGTTTTTGTGGGAAAAAGGGTGCTACAACTGGACCTGTAACTTCGTCTTCTCTTTCAAGCTGTACAACAACATTAACTGTACCACCGCTACGTAACTTATCTTTGTCTTGAACTTCATAGGACATTTCTATGTTAGGATAGCGGTTACAAAATTTGGCAACATCAGCCATTTGTGCTTCAGATAACTGTAAAAGACGATTTCTATCATCATCTTCCAATTCCATTACATCAAATACAGTTTCTACTCCTTTATCTGTACAACGTTTAATAGTTTCAACAGTAAAATGTGGTAATTGTTTGAGGTAAGAATCCTTAGACCACATGGCTTGAGTAACCATTTGTGCTAATTCCATAGCAGCTACTGCAGGAGCTAGCCACCCAGATGAACTTAGAACATCAACACAAGCTTGTATTAATCTTATAGCTTTGCTTAATACTAATTCTGTATCCTTTTGAAGTTCTGGTCCAAGTTGAATTCTAGATAAATGTGCTTGTAACAACAGCTGGGCTTTTACATGAGGATCAGCCATTCTTGTAGCTTGAGGTGCGTGTGGAAGCCGTGCTGCCAAACTTCTTAACAAATTCTCTTCACGCTGTCGAACGGGAACTGTTTCATATTCAGCAGCTGCTGAAATAATTTCTAGTAAACCTCTAATTTTAGTTTTGTTATTTAGAGAAAGACTAAATAATTCAATTGTTGCATAATTAATATAATAATAAGCAGCAATCATTCCAAGATTTAAAGGTAAAGTGTCCATTTCATCTTCTACAGCAACACATTTTGCCTGTTCTAAGTCACTTAAAGTACTCTCAACTAATTCAGATAAATGATCTGATAGATGTCTGTGTGTAACACCTTGTAATCCATAGTAATTTGGATTCTGCGTAAGTCGTCTGTACAAAAATGTCCATGTAAGATAATCAACCGCATCTTGTTTATTTTCAATTGTTTTTGTTACAATTTCTGCATTGAAATGATCGTGTAATCTATGATCCAAATGACTTTCTACAGGTAAAGGTTCATTCAAAAATTTTTTAAAGAAGTCTTTCTTTGAACTCTGGCAAAGAAGGACACATTTAGCATCATCATCTTCTAATGGGCGATTTGCTCGTGCTACCATTTGTAAAACATCTGTAATAGGATAATCTTCGTAGGCATGTGTTTTTCCGTTATAACATTGAGTGTCCATAACAACAACAAGGTGAGAGCTAATAGATAAACCCCAACAAAGATCTCTCGTAGCAACTGCTATTTGAATAGCACCGCTATCAAAAAGCTGTTCAACAAGACGTCTATCGTCCACAGATAATCCTTCGTGAAGATAAGCAACACCTTGTGAAAGTGTTTCCTTTAAAGTTTTATCAGTCATTCTGTCTAAAAATGGTTTAATATCAGCTTCTTCTGCATGAAAGAATCGAGACGGTTGTCCTTCAGCTGCAGTGAATGTTAATAGATCTATGGCTGTTAATCTAGCCTGACGCCGAGTAGGTACAAAAACAATAACTGGTTTATGAGAAGCATACCTAAGTATCGCATTATATACTGGTTTAGCCATAGCAGCTAATCTAGATGCATTATGAGTAATATTTATACCTTGTACATGCAACTCTAGAGGTACAGGTCTAACGGATGGATGAAAGTTAAAAGTTGCAGCAGCAGGTGCACCTAACCACTGAGCAGCATCTTTTGCATCTGCAAGTGAAGCTGACAATGCTATAATTCTGGTTGGTTTGTCTAATTGTGAAGAAATATATCGTGCTCTCGAGCAAGCAACTTCTAGTACAGGACCTTCTTCACCTCCAATTAATTGAAGTTCATCAACAATAAAAAGTTGAATGTTTTGCACATTTTTTCTTTGTTTCCATCTTCGTGATAATACATCCCACTTATCTGCAGTTGTAATTATAATTTGCCCTTTTGCAAGTAATTTAAGATCTGTTCCTGTTTCACCAGTCAAAAGAACCACCTTTCTACCCAAGTGCTGATTCAATTTTGTTGACCAATCAACATAAACCAATTCTGCTAAAGCCTCTTTACTAACCATATATACACATCTTCCTTCTGGATTTTGAGTAAGCAAACGTAATACAGCAAATTCTGCAATTGTAGTTTTTCCTGAGCCTGTAGGAGCCCCAACAAAAACGTTATCATCTGAATTATAAACAGCATTAAATACTTGTGTTTGAATTGGATTAAATTGTGGAAATTTATCTGCATAAATGTTTTCAAACTTTGAATTACGTAAGGCCGTAATTGGAAGCGGTTGTAGATCAAGTAATTCAGTTGGTGGTAAATTCTTTTCTGGTAAAATTAAATGTCGAAAACTGACAGGCAATTGAGTTTCTGCTCCAATCCATCTATCTGATACGACACGTAAAAAA